GATTATTGATGTCCGTGATGATGGATATCTGTGATTCATGATGACCGAGATGATGGATATCTGTGATTCATGATGTCCGTGATGATGGATATCTGTGATTATTGATGACCGTGATGATGGATATCTGTGATTCATGATGTCCGTGATGATGGTTATCTGTGATTATTGATGATAGTGATGATGGATATCTGTGATTATTGATGACCGTGATGATGGATATCTGTGATCATTGATGTCCGTGATGATGGATATCTGTGATTCATGATGACCGAGATGATGGATATCTGTGATTCATGATGTCCGTGATGATGGATATATGTGATTATTGATGTCCGTGATGAAAGATATCTGTGATTAATGATGTCCGTGATGATGGATATCCGTGATTCATGATGTCCGTGATGATGGATATCTGAGATTATTGATGTCCGTGATGATGATATATGGATATTGATGTCCGTGTGATTATTGATGTGTCCGTGATGATGATGGATTATTGATGTCCGTGATGATTATTATTGATGTCCGTGATGATGTCCGTGATGATGGATATCTGTGATTATTGATGTCAGTGATGATGGATATCTGTGATTATTGATGTCCGTGATGATGGATATTTGTGATTATTGATGTCCGTGATGACAGATATCTGTGATTATGAATGTTCGTTATTACGGACGTCCGTTATCATGTGTTACTGGGGTCCGATGATCAATTTCTACATTATAAAAGAAAGGTAAAATGATTAATTTATTTCTCAATTGTTTGGTCTTGTTTAATTAAAGTTCAAACTATAACGCTAGAAATTACGCCAAAGAATTTCGACGAGTTATGTTTTAAGTACTTTTCAATTAAACATCTGTTTTTTGAATGAGAACACTTAAAGATTCGTGGTAGTACATACAAAATTCAAGTGCCGTTCAGGAAGGAGACATTACGTCATTAGATATGGATTTAATCGCATACCTTTAACATTTATGATTGCATGTGGCATATTAATATTTCAGTATAATAAATTTACCATAGGAAATCTTGAGAAAAAATTTGAACATATCTATATTACTACCTATATAAATGTTAATTAATTGCAAATAATTATATTAACGATGAAACACAAAAACCAAATTGCAATTCGTCTATTTCCTAAAGGAAAATGATTGGATGTTTCCGTCATATGTGACAGCAATAGGAGCCCAACGTCATGGCGTCAAGCGTTAATGAATTTCTACAATTGATTTCGGGTGATGTTAGTTGCCTGTCGTAACTGCTAGCCATAGAAAACACGACATTGTTTTGGGAAATAAATATGTTCGGCAATTTGAATATTGTTAAGTTGTATTGTCGGCAAATGATCTCATTAAGACATATGCTATTTACTTGTACAATATAAAGTTGAATGTGTTGATGCTGGTAAGTATGTCTTTAGTGTCCATTGCAAATGACCTTTTTCCTAAACGTGGCATACTACTTACTTGAATTGACTAATGTTTACATGGCTGGCGTCGCCGATGAAGTAGAAGACGCTTCTTCTTCCCTAACACCAGGTCTTATTTCCCTTGCACTTTTATAAAAGTATCCGTTTGTATTTCCTTGTGGTTTTATTTTGACTTTGTTCTAACGGGTTTGATTTTCAATAAAAATCCTGTCGACATGTTGTTATTTTCTTTTATTTTTGAAAAGGCGATACAGTGTTTAACAATCCCTATATACATTACTGATTTATGATAATCATAACTTGCTTTAAACTGATATAGATAGTATTCATTATCGTCCGGGCAATCCGTCACGCATAACAGCCGTTTTGACGGTGAACAAACATTTTTTAAAGCCCACGAAACTGACGTCAAAATGGTCAAGAATTTACCGTCATCCATGGCATTTGAAGTTACAATTCGCTCTTGTTACTTAGATAGTAACTTTGCTAAGCAAATGTAAATAAAACCTCGGTTGGGACAAAATAAAATGCTCAAGAAATGAAAAATTCACTATATTACAAATGAAATCGTCATGATTATCACACAACTTAATTACAAACCATTCCTGTTGCAAATGAAGATTAAGAGTTTTTTTATCGCAATAAGAAGAGTATGCATTGTTTTTCATTCAATTTTCTCAGCCACACGTTTCTTATTTACAGACAAAATTATCAATGTATCTCTAAGGGGGATCAAAGGCAAATACTTTGGAAAATTATAGTGCACAGTTTGTTATCAGAGATATGACAATGGTATGTGTTGGAATCCTGCCACTAGACTCAAACGTGATTGTAAACCAATGGTTACAAAATTGTCATCTGTATATATAATTTTTGCTGTCGTTGTTTTTCATAAAATATGCTCTGATTTACTTCCATGCCATTAATTTATCTCACCTTTCCTCTTTCTAACAAGACTAAGGACGCATGGTGAACGATCGGGTCCCTTCTCATTGAATTGACCTAGGTAGGGGGTTACTTCATAAAAATGTTAAAGTATAGGAGTCTGACTATGTAAAACAAAAATATCATTGGAAATCATCTTACTAACACATGTATCCAAAACATTCTTTATCTATACCAGAAGGAATAAATATAATCATTGAGGTTCCATTAATTGGCACTGAACGAATAGATTGAATATATATGTAATATGGCATTCAAGAAGCAAATCAACACCCTTGTAAAATATTGATTTTCGGCAAGATACATCAGACATCGATCCATCACTCTCTCGCTCCATTTTTGCTAATTAGACAACAGAAACATACGCTGGTCCAAACTTTAAGGTTCCAACAATTGAAAATCTTAAAATCATTTTTTCTTCTTCTTAAATCAAACACTTGACTGTTAATATTATATATATATTTCCGTCGTCAATAGTTATTTTTGGCGTATCAATAACGCCTCCGATAAGTATACCGGTATTCCTTAGAGCTGAAAACAAGTAAAAATTATGCGTGATATGTACTTGGTTGGGAAGGAAAATTTAGATATAGGCGCCATATAAAATGAGGAATCATTTCTAGATTACCTTCACATGCTAGAAATGAATCTTTTTATTGAAAGGCATGATAACAAGTAACAAAATAAATTTCAAGTCATATATCAAATATAGTATCCCACAAGTAGAAAACTTCAAACTATCTCTCTGGTGCATTGTGCGAAAGACAGGCGAGTGAATTTGTTTTAACATATCAACAGATGTTTACAATTAGATATAAATATATGCTAAATGAAGAAATGTCTTAATTATACAACTGTATTACGTTCTTCTCGTTCAATAATGTCAGTGACCTATAGTGTAAAACATAGCTAAGCAAAATAAAACCCTTGAAGAAAAATGAGTAATATACCTTTAAATATTTACTCTCTCCATGGCTGATTTAGAAACAAACAGAAGACGCTTATCCCTTCGGAACACGTGGTCATTTTTTCTCCTAGAACTTGTTTAATGGTGTGCGTGGTAACCTTTGTTTTGCGCATTTTATATTTTTAGAGGTTGAATTAAGTTTGAGTTTATATGTCGACAATTTCTTTATTTCTGTCACCCCGATTTTTTAAAAATATTCCAATTGTACAATTTGTGGTACGACTGTGATATAGCACTGGCCCAGTACAATGCTTGAACAAATCAGATATGTACATTTGTTCGTATGCTTGTTTTAGTGTTTTATACATCAATTATGACAGAATACCTTATCAGTGTCTTAAAAGTTCAGCTGAATTTTGCGAGTGCGAACCTTTTGCGAGCCACTTTGATCTTTCTGATCCGAAATGTAGCTGATATCTTAAGACAATGACCACGTATTGTATATGTCCTGCACCATTGATTGAAAATTAAGATTATGTTCAATCGATTTTTACCTGATATCGACGTTACGTTGAATTTTTCCTGATGACGCAAGCCAAAATAACTGCCCTTTGAAGAAATGTTGTTCCAAACTTCAACGGATATAATAGTACCTTATATTCGAAAATTCATAAATAAACTCTTTTATCATATCATATAAAAATTGCTTATTTAAAGTTATTTAAATTTTTGAACGTAATATTGAAGTAAATTCAGAAAGTAATTCTGTCAAATTAATGCACGTGCGACACTACAGGTGTTTTCAGTCACTGCCGAATACAGCAAAAATATCCTTGGCAGGTGTATTCCGACAAAGGTAGCGCCAGTGGCAGGATACAATGTTGTATATGTGAAATACATGGAAATTTTCCTTACAACATCACGAGAAAAGTTTACAAAAATGATTTTGACATTTTTCTTAATCAATGCATTGACACAAAGGTGTTACAATAACATGTATTAATTGACTCTTGGTATTAGATGGGCTTTTGTAAAATTGTAATAAACAACTTTACCCAGTAAAGTATGTAAGAGAGGAAAACTGGTATAAAATGTAAGTGAATTTGGATATACATTTGCTCATTACTACGAAAAAAAATCACAAGATTCTCTGACGCACATGGCGAAAATCTCTTTAGAATAGCAATTTTGGTTTTTCACCCGAGAAGTGTTTGTGTTAATGAGAGCGTAACAAATTTGTCTGCAAGAGATTAGTAGTCGCTTGAAATATTTCTTACAAATTTCCCGTCACAAAGACTTTTGGGTGTTAACTTCTTAAGCGTGGATATGAATTTTAACACTTTCACTAAATCCGTATCAAAACCAGACTGTATAATATTCTGCTTGATTAGAGTAAAGACCTACACCAATGTGGTTCTATCGCCTTCACCAATTACCATTTCTTTGGTAGGAATAAACGGCTTTAGACGATTTGATATGATTACAATCTCGCTCCAAATTACAGTAGATAGCCTACACACAGAAAAAATCTACCGAATCTAACAGTAGACGTCATACAGGAAACACCAAAAAAACAACACATTGTGTGATTGATTTTAAACAGATGGAATAATTCTTATATGTGAAAAAATATTACGTTATCAGGAGTGCGGTCACGTGGTTACTATCCCAGTGATTAATATATAAGAGATAAACACATATTTATATCTGGAAACATGTTATATTAATGCGCGCGGAGCTGGCCGGATGAGTAGATATTTGTAATATATACGCCGTATAGTATGAGAGGGCCAGTATAAACACGACCAGGAGGATCGTACAGTGGAGGCACAGCGAATCGTCTGCTCTCGATCTCTCAGGATTAAGTATTAAAACAGACGATAAACGCCAGGTCTTTTTACCTCGTCAGCTGTCTAGTGTTGTGGAGTGTCAATGGATTATCACCGGCACGATTTACCGTGTACAGATCTTATCAATATTTCAACAATATGATGGTATGGTAACGATAAATTTTGTCACCTTTAAATCTTAAGAATCACCCGCGTTATAATACTATTAACTTTACTATAAGGAAGTTATATTAAGATCGCCAGTTCATGACAGAACCAATTAAGAATGAGTCGGTTTAAAAAGGAATAACCATGTTCCAAACAATTTGTGGTGGATTTTATCGATGTATTTCTGAATATGTTAATCTGATTGTGTGATGTCACGGAAAATTTGATAAGTTGTTGTGTGTGCGGGCCCCCTTCTGTCTCAATCATGTCCCACGTACAACGATGTGGATCTACTACGATATTCTGCAGTGTGGTGCTTGTCTTTATTTGTCAAAGTATTTCTTCGTCAGGATCTGCTCTAACAGTGTCAGAGATTCAGGAGACCGGCAAGGTAAGACAATTAATTACTTATTGTAAATATAGCTTAATAGACATTGATTTCCGTATTTTAATTAAGATCGGAATTTTCAGGTAAAAGGTGATGTATAGGTACGGGTAATACAGCGGATAATTGTAATCCATTGGGTACTTAATTACGTTTAAATGACGTTTTTATGAAGGTTATATATACAGGTTAAATATGTTGTCATTTTACAGCAGTTATCATACAGTAAACTTTTCATACGATTCGACAAGAAATACTAGAATACCTACGCTTTACGGTGTACTCATTTACAGATGATACCAGTTGTAATTACACAGGTAACAAACAAGTAATTAATAATGTAATTAGAGATCATGTTTTACATGGCACGTAATTACGGATACATGTTTTAATTAAATAGAAATTACACTTGTAATACATGACGTTATCATATTATACTTTCTCTTTACGCATCTTGACTGAAATGTGGAATTGTCTCTTTCCGACAGCGTTACTAACAATAAATCTGTTTGGACAACATCTCATTAGTTACTATCTGTAAATAAAATATGGTACTTCTGATATTTTATATTTTCTTGTAAAGTATACTACCAGTTATTGCTAGATCAAGCTTAAAAGTTGATTACACTATACAATGTATCTTTTCCGGATTCCGGAAACCGCATATTGGTGCAGTTTTAGATATTGGAATTAATTGGTTGATAAAATATGTATCTTCAAATAATCAAATATTATTAACCATAGGCTGGTCAATGTTTTAAAAGTAGAAGTTTTCCTTAAAAAATAACGTCTGACAGACTGAAAATAACAAGATTGTGTGATTTCATATTTTATATTGCAAAAATTCAATTTGAATTCTTGATATATAGCATCATTTTTATAATACCACGGAAAATATATTACTGACGAATTTTTTTGCAATATCAAAGTGTTCCGAGTTTAATGAGACCAATACAAATCAGTCTAAACTTCACACTCATTCACTCTTGTTATTTTCCATACATCTTTCATATTTCAAACATACAATATATTATTTCAATTTTTTTTGCTTTATGATTTATATATATATAGAGAGAGGGGTTTTATGAATTATATTAAGGCTAAAAAAGAGAGAAGAATGTGTGTCGGCAGTTTTATTAGATACGGTACGATGTTACCTGTAAACGACACATGTAGTTCACTGCTTCACTAGAACGCTTTATAAACAATGATCTCTCGGCTATAGCACATACATCAGGTACACAGTCGACTACAATACGGAGCCAACATATGTTAGGGAGCAGGTGCAGGTTAGCCTTTACTACCAGGGAATATCGTCTATCGGACTTGTTCTATACACACTGTAATCAAGTCGAATTGAAATTCGGGTTAATAACGTATAATTTATCCTGTTGAAATTATCATTCAAAATATTTCATAGTAGACACAATATAAATCAATAAAAACCACACAATTTTAGTAATAAAATACTAATATGACCTTGACACACAAAAAACAAATAATGATTTTAAGTGTCATGGTGGATAGTGTCATCGAGTGCACAAATTTAAAAATCGTCGACTTCCCATGAAACTAGATTAAAAATTCAATGCAAATAAAACACAGTATTCGTCAGTTTTGGTATTTCACGTTAGATATTTATAGCAAATGTACGTAAATGACTTGCTCACTTTTGACCGCCCCTGATCCCTATACCAGGGTCGTTCGTTCAGCTGTCACGTTCATGTCTGTCCAGGTGATGTGTTAAAAACATCCAAAACCTAAATGTCACTGTTGAATTACATATACATTTGTTTGACGGGAGAAAAAAAAAAGAAAAATTAAAACATTTGGTTACATTTTAAATGAAGGAAAAAAAACCTGAAATGATATGATTATATGAAACTTGATTGATTTAAAAGGACACCTGGGAAAATAGAATGCAGTTGACAAAATGGAACTATGTAAGGTCAGATATAAGGTTAGAATTTTGTTAAAAAATGGTTCCGGATTCACAGCAAATCGACAGGTACAGAGGTTTGTTATACGTTTGTCTGACAGTGTCTTGTCAGTACAATACATTTTGGTCACTTTATAACAATCTCGGTAGTCGGACTTATATATCATGGATGAAAGATTTACCCGCCCCTTTAAGATCATACTTATTTTCTGATAAGGATCTCGCGACCTTTTTTTCACAAGATACATGTACATTAGAACAAATAATGACCAGACATAGATCGGCTGTTTGGGATAACCGAACATTCCGGTCCGGTAACACATCAGGACCAATGGTGATTTTCCTGACGATTCAGGAATCATTTATCAACGGAGTTTAAACCCCGAAACAATATGGTTGTATGTAATAAATTTAGCTAACTATACCATATAAGGCGAATAATGTGTTAAAATTGCATCATTATACTGGTTTTTCCTTCTAGAACTTCTCGTTGATATTGGGGACTAATAACTTGGGTCTCATATCGTCCTGCTTTATATTTTGCGTCTTACATTGACGTATACAAAACTATCATGTGACCTTGCACAGGGTGTGAATAATTATATCATGCTCTACAATATCGGTACTGGATATATAACATTCAAAATAAAAAAAATAAGCCTCCGGTGAATATATTTCGGTCCTTCCAAAATGATAGCGTCTAAAAAGACATCATGTTGTTAGTTGTGTATCTGTTTCTGTAGGTGGTAGATATGCAGTGTCTTGTCGGTGGGATGAGTGACACAATCGTTCAGGCGTTTACCATTCTGATTTACGCCGAAATTACCACACTCTATCTCTTGTTGATGAAACAAGTATTTGTACTGATGAAGCACGTGCTTTGCCCGACACTTAGATGTTTATCAGCATGAGGATAATTGCATCAGACACCTATCCTCAGCCCCTTGTCTCTCAACACAGCACAGAGTGTGTGCCATATGTACAGACCGTATACTCACCACGCCCCTCAACACAACTACTGCTTGTGTCAGGGTAGGGATATCTGGTGGGTAATCCTTTTGATTCATAAGTATGGCGTGAGCTTCATTATACGATGTTAACGACCGTCAAAGCGTTGTATGTCATTGAGTGTCTGCAAGTTGTTGTCGTTCATCGTCCACAAATATGCTTCACTCCCTTCTCGTGTGTGGTAGCTACGTAAATATACAATTAATTTCTTAAACGTTTGATACTAAAATTTATGTAAATTAATATCAAACAAAGAACTTTTTTTCTCTAGAATTAAGATTGCGTGAAATATATATCTACTTTACATATTTATCTTTGATTTTCAGAGGGGATTTACTTTTGTTACAATTACATCATTATATAGATATATTCTTGGGACGATCAAATACATCATCAAATACATGCTAGAAATTCTTTATTCCAGAAGTACATGTTTATATAATTAGTTATTTAGTACCCCTAGTTTATCAATGTCACTGCTTGGCCAGTCAGTTCGGTAATTGGCCGTGTATAAGCACGCACCTGTAATTAGCGAGATACACACGTAGAACGATGCACTTACATAGTATGATAAATCTTACCTGTACTACTCAGTATGTTAAAGAGCATCTTATATCTACGCTTACCATCGGTAATCACACAGAGACTAAAAACTCCATATCTCCTTGTGAGGATTTTCGGCATTCCGTGATAGCATTTATACGCACTTAAAATGACGGATCTTTCTCAGTTGTATTTAATATTTAAAAAAACGTGTTTGATGTGAAACGACAGTTTATGATCGGTATTTAAAATGAGAAATAGGTTTCATCTATCTTTTCGATTATCAACGTGATGATCAAGATTAGATCCGACTGGCGATGAATGTGCAGTTTTTGATGACAAGAAAGGGATAGCATGTGTAATGTATGTGACAAAAGCGACAAGAAAGACTTCACACCAATCCAGCTCAACATCTGCCTGGGATGGGCAGATACCAATTTCAGATAAAACGATCAGTGAAGATAAACTCTTTAATTATAATTTATCTCCTCATCTCGTACTTTCTCCTCGTCAATTTTCATTTTTAAGTGGTTACAACATTTCGTCATTTCACTAGTGGTCATAAATGACTGCCAATACATTTTACTGCAGAACGGATGTCTTTGAAGTATATCCTTCAAAAATTTTCTGTTCAATTCCGGGAATAAAATTTACAGGAAAACGCTCATGTTGTCTGAAATTTACGACAAAAAGGTTAATTTTGTTTCATCCAGAACTCGAGAATTACTGAGATCCTATATAAAGATTAGTGGCAGGCTTGTGTTCAGGGTTTCTTTTTACAAAAGCTGTACAGTATCTGTGTGATGTTGGTAGCGACGGCTAACCAACAACAGTAATTGTTCTGAGTTAAAATTTAAAGTTAACACCATTTCCGATTATGAAGCAATTAAAGTGTCTGTTCCACGAAGTCTGTAACCAGTTTTGAAATTAGCCGATTATATTGTCTGACGTATGTTATAATTATCTTGTATTGTTGATTGCCAGAACGTGTTGTAATGTCGAAAAAGAAAGTCGCGATATTTACATAATGAAAGAAATAAAATTTCGTTACATCATATGGGTCATGCACATAGTGTCAGGACACAAACTGAAGCACATTCCTAACACGCTTCATTTTCTTTTTAAATCATCTTATTTTCGCTCCGAAATTTATTATATTACATAGAATCGTAAAATCTCCCGACAAACCATGTCCTTTCTTCGCCCTTTCGAAGCCGACCTGCATTTTACAGATTGTCAAGTTAACTAAAATGTTTTCGAGTTGGGAAACATACGTACACATGAAACGTAACCCTCAGATATTTCTGTGAAGTTAGTACAACTCTGTGTGACATTTCTTTTTTTTTCGTAAAAGAAAAGAAAATGAAACAAAAATAAACCTATTTGAATATTGGGAACCTAAATCAAATTGTATTTTATATTTACAGAAGTTACAGAATAGATAAATAAAATATATTTTATTCTTTGGAGTGGAATATACAATTCTGTATCAATAGTGTCGTGTTGGAAGAATAAA